GTTTGGGAGGTTTTTCGGGGGGGGGAGGCGTGCGCTGCATCAATTCAGCGTTTGCGACGAGCGGCGTGCGGGGTGCTGTGACCACGGCTGCCATCACTGGATCCTGGAGGGGGTGCGTGCGCGCGCGCGTGCGCGTCTCTGGGGTGCGTGCGGGGGGAAAGGGGGGTGTGATCCACGTTGGTGACGTCACCCAAGCGGAGGGGGGATGCGTGCGGTGCGAGCCCTGGGGGCAGCACGGGGTTCTGGGCGGCGAAACCGCTGCGGGAAAACCCCAACCCCCTGCTGCCCTCCACGGCGCGCTCCCGCCCGACCGGGGGCCGCCCCGGCCGCGCCGTCGGCGCCCCCGTCGCACCCGCTGCATCGGGGCCCGTGGCGTGGGTCGCGCGTGAGGGGAAGATTGAGTCCGCACGCGCTGCCGCGCCGCGACGACGCGCGCACGCGCGTGCCTCCATTGATGATTCGAGCCTGGAGGCCTGCTGAGGCCTGCCAACTGCAACCATCCACGTGCACGCGTGTGCGCGCGCGCACACACACACACACACACACACACACACACACACACACACACACACACACACACACACACACACACACACAACCCGCAGGCGCGCTATGCCGTGCGCACCCCCACCGGCCACCCCATCCACGAGCACGCGCGCGTGGCCCAGTTCAAGGCCCTCCTCGACGCCCGCGACCAGGCCAACGACGCCGCCGCGTCCGCCAAGCTCGCCCTCGCGCGCGCCGCCGCCCCCGAAAACGGCGGCGGGGGCGCCGACGGCGGCAGCGACGGCCGGGGCAAGGGGGAGTCCGCGGGGGAGGGGACAGGGGCGGGGGTTGCCAAGGTGGCGGATGCGGCGTTGCCGGGGCCGCTCGAGCTGCTCGGAGAGCTGATGTATCAGTCTCACTCGAGTTACGGCGCCTGCGGTTTGGGGTCCGACGGCACCAACCGCTTAGTCAACTTGGTCAGGAACCACGTGGCCGAGGCGCAGGCCGCGGGGCGCCCGGCGGCGCTGATGGGCGCGAAGATCACGGGCGGGGGGTCGGGGGGCGTGGTCTGCGTGCTGGGCCTCGCGGGGGGCGCGGGGGAGGCCGCGGTCGCTGCCGTGGCGGCGGCGTACGCGCGGGAGACGGGGCACGTCCCGGCGGTGTTCGCGGGGAGCAGCGTCGGGGCGTGCCGGCTGGGGGCGCTGCGGCTGCGGCGGAGGGGGGGCGGCGGCGCGGCCGCGGCGCCGTGACTGTCGACGGGCCTG